GAATGTCCCGCCCGCCCGCCCGACTGAACGTCCAATCCCTGAGTGAAGATTGAATTGAATCTCCCGCCCGCCCGACCGGCGTCTGCGGTGGTTGCGGCGTGCAGTTCCCAGACGTAGTGCCATCGCACTGGCGGGCGTGACGTTGAATGTCCCGCCCGCCCAACCGACCGAACGTCCCTCCGGTGAGTGAAGATTGCATTCAATCACCCCCCCGCCCGACAGGCGCCTTTGGCGGCCGTGGGAGATTCTCCCCGACTTTCTCCCATCGCGCAGCGAAGATGACATTTGATGTCCCGCCCGTCGCCGTCGCGGTCCTGGTCGCGGTCGTGGTCGTAGTCGTGGGCGTCGACGTCGTAGTCGTCGCCGTCGAGGTCGTGGTCGTCGAGCTCCCAGGCGCGGGCGTTGCGCTCGTCGGGGCGCGGCAGCGGCAATAGTGTTGCGGGCGCCAGAGCGCCGGAGGGGGGGGGTGAGGACCTAAACAGACGCGCGGCGCAATTTGTCGATTCTGGCGCGGAGATTGCGCACCGAATGTTGCGGCAACATCTTCTCTGTCGGCGCGCGGCGCGAGCCCGACTCCACGGCCGAAGCTGATTCCTTGGCCACGATGCCAGCAGCGTGTCGGCCACGCGCAGAGGGGGGTTAGGGGGAGGGGGGAAGGCTTCTCAGAAGCGCCCGTGCCTCTGCGAAGGCGCGGCCCTTGGCTATAAGATGTAAGGCCGGCGCCTTCTAAGAAGCAGCCTCCTTCTAAGAGGCCTTCCCCCCTCCCCCCACCCCCTTGAGCGCGCCGCCAAGCGTGGGAAGGAAGTGCGGGCGCACGCCGCGGCGCGGAGCGCGGCGTCGGGGGGCTGTGGCCGAGGGCGGCAGAGCCTCGCGGCCCCCCCCCCCCTTGCGCAGCGCGGAAGCAGCGGCGGGGGCGTGCGCCCCTATCGCCGCGGGGCCCCGCCTGGCGCGGGCCCAGCCTGGACGAGATGCCCCCGCGGCCGCTCGGGCATCCCCCTTTCGTCAGGCATAGCATCCCTGGGAAGAGGTCGCGCTGCCCCGCCGCCCCCAGCTGCTCTCTCTTGGCGCCGCGTTACCCGCGGGGCGCGACGTTGCGCTCGCCGCCGTGGGCGCCCCCATCTCCCTGCTGCAACAGGCGCCTTGACCAAGGATAGCCTGCGTGACGAATGATCTCGGGTTCATTCTGCGCGGTGCTGCCGCATATAGTCAGCGCCGTTGCTACCGCGACATTCGATGCGGTATCTCAGCGCCAATCCAAAGCAAACTTGCGCCGCGCGCCCGTTCAGATCCCCGCCCCCCGCAGTCCGGCTCCCGAAACAATGTTGCTTCTGTCGGGCACCGAAAAGTGCAGCGCCCGCCCCTGGGCTATCCGCCGTCATCGTCTTCTCCGAGACTCGCCGGACACCCGAGACGCCCCGGGGCCCCGGACACCCCAGACCGGACATCCCGGACACCCTGGACACCCTGGACACCTTAGACATCCCGGACATCCCGGACATTTTGGACATTCCAGACACCCCAGATATTCCAGACACCCCGGACAACCCGGACACCCGGGACCCCGGGTGTCGACACCCTGGACCGGACACCCCGGACACCCCGGACACCGGACCCACAGAAGATTAGTTTTGAAAATGAACCGCCATCAATCCGTGAAACGTTTGCAATTCTTTTCAGACGAATGTGCGCAGCGCTAAGGCGACAACCGCATTTTGCAAGCGAGCAGCTTTGAACCCGTGAAACTTCTATGAAACTTGTACAGCGATTGTGCGTGGCGCTACGGCGAGAACCACAGTTTGAAAATGAACCGCCCTCATCCCGTGAAGCATTTGCAGTTTTTTAAACTGAATGTGCGCGGGGTCGAGGTGAAAGCCACATTTTGAAGCGACCCGCTCTCCATCTGTGAGACTGCCTCCGGTTTCTAAGCTTGAGATTCATGAGTTGTCAACGAAGTTTCAGGCGAAACGCCCAGTCCGCCCTTCCGAGTGGCCTCGGGGTGTGACAGGGAGAGGTTATGCATAAGTAAATGATGATGATGATATCGGTGCTGTTAGTTCTGATGATGAGACTGATGGTGATGATGATGATGAGGTTGCTGATGGAGGTGATGATGCGGATGATGGTGATGATGACGATGATGCTGATAATGACGATGTTGATGCTGATGGTGGTGGTGGTGGTGATGATGATGCTGATGATGATTGCTGATGATGATGACGAGGATGAGGAGGAGGAGGAAGAGAAGGAGGAAGGCGAGGAGGAGGATGAGGAGGAGGAGGATGAGGATGAGGAGGAAGAGGAGGATGAGGAGATGGAGGAGGAGGAGGAAGAGGAGGAAGGGTAGGAGGAGGAAGAGGAGGAGGAAGAGGAGGAAGAGGAGGAGGAGGAGCAGGCAACCGAGGACGAGCTGAAGTGAAGGAGGAGGAGGAAGAGGAGGACGAGGAAAATGGGGAGGGGGAGGAGGAGGAGGAGGAGGAGGAGGAGGAGGAGGAGGAGGAGG